TCTCCACTCAGTCCACACACCTCCCAGCTCCCATACCTACTGGAAATCTCACCTCACTCCTCCTCAGCCCACGCTCTGAAACTCTACCACAGGCCTGAAATGGTTTTGCCCACCATTCTGTCTAGTAATGTCTCCCTTTTTGTTTCAACAGATTCTTTTTTTTTATTTCAGGAAATTATGGGGGTACAAACATTTTAGTTACCCCTTATGACTTTGGCACATCCCAACCATGATTTGAGGTGTGCCTCTCTGCCCCCCACCCCGTACAATGCTCATCATGCCCATTAGTTGTGAGTTTACCCACTCCCAACCCTCGTATCCCCCAAGAATATTACTACTGTGTTCAATGGATTCTTAATTCCCACTTCTTTCCTGAAATCTTCCATTTGTCAATGAAGACAACACAGCTGCTTATTATTCACTTTCTAGATATTCCAGTTTGGCCATAGAACTAAATAGGGTTATTATTTTGATTATTGCCAAGTACTCATTTATTCAACAACACTCACTGGGCACCTCCTGGAGTCTAGGCACTGGGCTAGCCATAGTGGATACCAATAATGTTGGCGCACAGCCTGAAAATGATGTGTGGGATGATGTCAGCAGGAACACAAGCACTAAACCAATGCTCTCCTCCCCTCAGTCCCAGAAGGACGCTCTACTTGCAAACACCTTTCTGAGGAAGGATTTAAATGTAGTGCTCGCATAACACAACCCTTCCAGCTTAGAAACTTGAAACTGCTTGACTTCATATTAAACATTTCCCCTCTCTCATACTTTGTATACACCCTCATGTTTCCCTGACTACCCTATAAACTCCATTTGTCTTTGTAGGATTAAGCACCGTACTTTCGCGCGCGTGTGTGGGTGTGTGTGTGTGCATGTGTTTTCATTTATTTCTCATAATAATGTGGATACCATTATTTTTCCCACTTAAAGATGAGGAAACGGAGGCAAGGGAAGTTAAGTAACTTAATGAGGTCTCACAGGCAATGAGTGAAGGACTCAGGATTTGAACCCAGACAGCATAACTCTAGATTCCAAGCTATTAACCACCACCCAAACACACACCAAAGACTGTGTAAGCTTGAAGCTGTCCCCAAATGGAGCCTATATAGGAAAATGAAAACTAAAGAAAGAGAGGGAAGGAGGGAGGGAGAATATGAAAGAAATATACTGATTATTTTATTTGAACCCCTGGAGAATATGAAGCCAGAAACTATCCTTTGGTCTTCCTAGTTATACAAATGAACATGGTCTTTTGTCATTTGTAGCCATGGGTTCTTAATGAGGGGTCCACTCACAATTGTACACACAGTTGTGTTTGTGTATAAACAGAACTATAAAACAGTGCATACACATGTCTCTGGGGAGAATCTCAAAGGAGTACTTGATTCTACATAACTGCCATATGTACAGCTTTTTAGCTTTGCTAAAATTAAGTGGGGCACTTAGAACATGTCAGTGGTCACGTGGCTGGCCTCTGCTCGCATAGGTCTATGTCTGGAGCTACATTTGCATGCAGCAAAATAAACTGCTTTCTATATTAAGCCAAGTGCCACAATGCCTGAAATTTCTCCATAAAACATTTACCAATTATAATTTCTAATTATCTTTTAAAATACAAAGCAAGTTTCTATTCAGCATGCTAAATTGCAAATACATGCTTCTTTCAGCTCTATTTCCAAACCTCACGAACATGACAGCATGTCAGTCCTGGTTCTGTTGGTCTTTCTCACTATTCCCCTGTTCTGCTCTGCTCTGTAATGCAGAGGGACTGACAAGCTTCTGCAAGGTTGGCTTCCCAGGCTTCCAGGGGTTCAGCAAATAGGAGCACTTGGGGTGGGAGTCTAAAGGTTGGAATTAGAGAGAAATCAGAGGGAGGATTTCTCCCCATCCCTCTCTGCCTCAGGCAGAGGATCTGGTAGCAGCTAGGTCTCCTCTGAGGCTCCAGCTCCCACTAGACAGTCCTGCTATAGTTCTAGCTTCCACCAGGATTACTAGGGCCCCAGGCTCAGGCAATATCATCTCTCGCCTGGGGTGGTGGTGTTATTGCTAATTTCTGAGTTGCCTCCCAGGCCCCTAGTGGCTCCTCAGCAACTCTATCATCTGTATGAACAATTCCTTGCATTGAATTCCCATTTTTCAAATACTCAGAGTGGGTATAGTCTCCTGGTTGGGCCCTGATTAATACCGCTAGTAAAAGAATAATTATAGAAAAGCATAAACCCATATGGACAAAGAGGATGGTGTAGGAAGTAACAGTGAATGTCCACTGTCAACACATTTTTGTAAGATGAAAATGCACAGAGGAATGGTCACTGCCTTAGCAGGGCAAAGGAGGCTGTACCCTAAGTACCTAAAGAGGGAAACCCCAGTAAAGACTCTGGGAAGCCTAAGGCCTTGGAGGCACCAAATACCTTGAAACATAGGAATATGTGACTGAAAACAAGAAGATTCCTTGAAAGTCAATATATGTTCTCCTCTCCCACCTTCCTACTGAAGACCCGAGCCTTATTCTCTGGATATTGAACCAGAGCAGTTCCAGACTGGGAGCTAGTAGGTACAATGGAGTGCAGGAGAGTGGCTCATGCTAGAAACATCATGATGATGTGAATGTCTTCATTCTTAATATCATGACCTTCTGCCACCCACAACCATGGTTGAAAGAGTCTTCACTGGAGAAACAGAATCCCTAGAAAAGACCTCTACATATTGACACTGGGAGGGGGAGGTGGGAGAGCCTTATAAAAAAGCCAAATCATTGCCAAAAAGCCCATCTTTAATGAGCCCCACCGCATTACTAGCTAAGACTTCGAGAGTGTGGAACATAGTCATGAAAAGGAACCTGTAGAAACATCTGGGGAAAATAGCAATTAACAATAGTCTAATGGAGCACTAAAGAATGAAAATATGAGGCAATAATTAACTCCAGGAAAATAAATCATTGGACATGACTTGGTTTAGTAGTAAATAATATTTGTATAGTCAAAATAATGTAAACAATTAATTATTGATCAATAATGGGACAGACATAGGGAGAAGAGCTGGGTTTAGAGTGTAATTCTATTAATAGATGTCATAAATAACATTTAAAAATTGCAAAATTAAGAACGAGTAGAGTATTTGTTTCTTAGAGCTGCTGTAACAAATTACCACAAACTGCATGACCTAAAACAACAGAAATTTTTTCTTTCATGGTTCAGAAGGCCAGAAGTCCAAAGTCGAGGTGTCGGCATCTGTTCCCTACCTCTCTCCTAGCTTCTGGTGGTTGCCAGCAATCCTTGGTATTCATTGGCTTGCAGCTGCATAATTCTAATCTCTGCCTTCAACGTCACATGGCTGTCTTCCCTCTGTATCTGCCTTTCTCTGAGTCTCTTCTCTTTTTCTTATAAGGATAAGTCATATTAGACTTAAGGCCCATCTTATTCCAGTAAGACTGCATCTCAGATTAACTAATTATATCTGCAGAGACCCTATTTCCAAATAAATTCACCTTTTGAGGTTCCAGGAAGGATATGAGTTGGGGTGGAAGAGACTATTCAACCCAATCAACTGGAATAAGCATAACATTTGAAATATGTAAGTGAATTCTAGAAGAAACAGCTCAAAATCAAAGGTCCTTAACTCTGGAATGGGGACAAGTGAGTGGAAAGGACTGGGTAGGGAGATGATGAGCTTGGAACAAATGGGCTTATGGCATACTGACACCCAGGTTCCCTCCTTTGGGCCAGTAGGAGTGTCATATTTCTCCTCCTTCTGGTTGTCCAGGTGTAATGAGGTCATGAGTACGGAGCCTCCATAATGGGATTCGTGGCATTATAAGAAGAGGAAGAGACAACAGAGCTTCCTCTCTGCCATGTGAGGATATAGCAAGAACAAGGTTGTCTGCAAGCTAGGAAGCAGACTTTCACCAAGAATTGAATAGGCTAGGACTTTGGACTTCCAAGCTCCCTAAATAGTGAAAAACAATGTCAGTTGTTTAAGCCACCCAGTCCATAGAATTTTGTTACAGCAGCTCAAGCTAAGACAGAAGCCAAATCCCCATCTTCTCCACCTCTATTAGAAATGTAATATTATCAGCATGTCACAGTCACCTTGTCTTGCTTTCAGCAACCAGCCCAAGAGTCTGCTGCTTCTTTAGGTAGATTAAATAACATGTGCCTCCAATGACCATCCTGAATCATCAGATATTGCCTAATTGAGGCAGTAATGATTTGTTTAACCACCATTGTTGCCTGGTAGAGTTTGCTATTAGGCTCCAACCTAGGCCTGGTGTTCTGGAGTTTTATATAATGAAAATAAATGGAAACCTTCACTACAACCCTAAGAGCTTCCAAATTAAAAAAATAGGGAGTTCAGTAATTCAGCCATAGCTTTAACTTTCTAAAAATGCTCTAGATCATATTAAATCCCACAAGGTTTTGTTATTTTTATTTTTCTTTCTTGTTTTAGTTTTTGCTCTTGGTAAACAGATTTAATGCATTGCCCTGACTTGTCTCTCCCCTTAAGAGGAAATGCATTTTCCTGAAAATACAGCATTTTCCAATTGGCAAACAGTTATAGGAATAAATTCTTTAAGCACCATTTAAGAAGCTTACTTGAAATTTGGGAGTCTCACACCAAAATGATGACTATTAAGTAGCAATTTGTTATGCAATGCCAAGTGAAAATGTGCTGTCATAATTCACTGGATAACATTTAGTTTTTACATCATTTTGATAAATGTACCTCTTTCACCAAGATAGCCACAAATCATACCTTATGGCTGTCATGTGAAGGCAGTAAAATATTACATACCTGCAGATGACCTCTATCCAGAAATACTTTTCACTATTCACATTTTATCTGTCAAATAGTACTTTCTTTAAGAAATCAACACAAATGCCATTATGGAGAGAAGCTACCGGCCTAGGACAAGTTCTAGCATTTTATGTTCTGACAGATCTTAATTTGGATATCAGCCAAAGTCAATAAAACTTGTTCATGCAGAACCTTACCTGGTTTTCAGCACATCCAGGGGGTGCATCAGGCAAATTTCTACAAGACCTGAAAGATGATAAAGAAAAGTCCAATAAACACTTATGTAAACACTGGTTCTTATTTCCTTGACCCTATTGATTTCTCAAGGATGAAGATTCAAGTAAAGAACTTGGGACTTTTGACATGACACCTAATAGTAGTAGGCTAGTGGTAAAAGACAAATGCATAATATGATTTTATTTCAATGGGAACAAGATATGTGAGCAAGCACTTTCTTACAAGTGCTCTGGCAGAGAGGCAGGGCTGCAGGGGAAAGAAAATAAAAAATGAGTTACATGTTCTAATCCCAACCAACTAGGCAGGAATTATTGTGTCCCAATCCAGCCTGATAGATAAGTACATGTGGAAAGAAGGGAGAGAAGAAAAGGAAGAAAGAAAGAAGGGAGGGAGGGTCTTTGAGTCCTACCCACTCCCACCACTTAACACAGCAAATCATAAGCCTGAGTTTTAGTATCTATGAAATAAACATAATGATGCCTCTTACCTCACTCATAAGGTAGTTATGAGAATTGATACATATCAACAATTTAATTGCTTAATAGGGAATATTTTTTGAATGCTCACTGTGTGCTAAACACTGTTCTAAGCAGCATTTAGATTATGTCATTTAATTCTCACAAGAATTTTATGTGATAGGGTATATTATCCCCAGTTTATGGATGAGATAATTGAGGAACACAGGTTAAAAGATGTCACATTGTCTAAGATGTCACATTGGAAAATAGTCTTAATTCCCACAAAGCCCATGATATTAACCATTGCACAGTGTGAAAAAACTTCTACCACTTCTTGAAAATCAATTGTAAAGCTCTCCCTCCTGTTGTCTAACTGAGCAGAGAAGACTTCTAAATTATAAACTACTGGCATGTAACAATAGTAGTAGTACAAGTAGTTTTTGGTACTAGTAGTTACCAAAATAATTACAGTAGTTGTTATAGTATTATAATTGTAATAATCATGACAGGCACCTTACCCAGAGCCCCTACATGGCTGTGCTCATTAAACATACATTGTCTCTAATATGCACAACTGCTGGACAAGGTAAATATCATTATCATCTTTACTTTAAGATAAGCAAACTGCAGTTGATAATGTTCAACTAATCTGTTCAAAGGCCACACAACTCTTTGTAGATAGTTTCTTATAGGCAGAGCATTTATCTCCATTTGTAAACTAATTCAATCTGAATTTAGCTATGATATAGTTCATCTTCTCTATCACATGTTTATATACACAAATGTCTTTTCCACTCCACACTGGCCAGGTCCAGAAAACTCAAAGGGCCTGTACCTTCCCGAAGGCCTACTTTGCTTCTGCAGAAGCTTTAGGAAGTTCTTTCCACATACACCTGCTATATGTTGCAAAGTCAAATCTGTCAATCAAAAACAACTGTCCTAATTTGGCTACAATTAATAGGATTCAATATTGATGTTGTGCCAAAGGCTCTCCAAGTCACTGACATAATCACAATCTCATTGCCTAGAGATGGCAAGAGACAGGCACAAGGGAGCAGAGGGAACAGGATTGCTAGACACAATGGCAAAGCCTCTAGGCACCATTTTAGCTTCATTAATAAGCCCTGTTATTCAAGATAGCATCGGTAGGTCTCCTCCTTGCAACCTGTAAGGTTTCCATACATTTCTGCTTGCTTGAAAATTCACATTCACCTGGTAAGAATAAGGTAACCAGAGTTCTTGTCTTGGTGCCTTCAGGGAATGTTCATTTACCCATGGGGACATCAGTTCCTTATCTGTAAGGGGAAGGATTAAGTGGTGTAGAATAACTTTGAGACCTAATAAATGTTCTATGCTTCTGTTGTTATTTTTGAATCTGATTATTATTTATGTATTTTTCCTTATTATTCTGATTTAAGCTTTACTATATTAACTAAAAAAAGATAAAGCCCTAATCCTTTAAACAAAATTTACCTTGGAAATTCAGATTTTAAAAGTAACATTCTTACCAAGTTCTGCAGCAGACATGCAGTAAGTGCACTTCTGTGCACCTGACATGCATAATGGAATAAGACACTTAGAATCAGTTTACCAAAGCAAGTACACAAAGCTTCTCCCACTGACTTGGCATTAGAGGAGAAGCAAAATATTACATAGTAAATAGTAATAGTTGGTATATCTCTCAAAAAGTATACCAAAAGAACCAAGAATACCAACAGCTTATTAAAACCAATAGCGGAACTTGGAGAATCATTTCAGATTTATATAAATCTATTTGCCTATTTGTAAGATTGTTTTAGTCTCCTATGTGCTAATGGGCATTTCTGTTAGTAAACAGATAATAGATCAGATCACTATAGCTTTGTGGTTACTTAAAATTATTTTCTAACCTCTAGCATGCATTGAAACATTCATTTATTCATTCAACAAATGTTCACTGGCTGCCTTCTATACATCTGGCATTGAGGATACAGCCTAGTGAGGGGAAGACACATAAGAACAAACAATAATTCATGGGAGGAGATGCAATGCTCAGACTTTATGGGAGCACATCAGAGAGAGGCCCCTGACCTAGCCTGGGATTAGGTGAGGAGTAGGAAAGGGATTTGAGGCACAAAGAGGAAAGCATGAGCATGAGGCATGGAGGGAGACACAGAACAAAGAAGGAAAGAAGCACTTGAGCATTATGGCAGCCTAGGGTTGAAGGCAGGACAGGGCAAGAGATGAGGCTGGAAGTGTGTAGGTCAGAGTCAAGTTCATGTTCAGGCACTTGCACTTTATCCGATAGCCATGAGGAGCCAGTGAAGGTTGTTTTTTCTTATTACTAATGTACTCCATGTTCCTTGAAGATATTTTGAGGGGTTGTAAGCAGAGGAGTGATAACCTCTGCTAATATGTTCTCCCAATGATCTGCCCCTTCAATCCCACACTGCTCGCAATCACATTTAAGCACAAGAACACTGATGCCCCATCCCTCTCCCCTTTGGTTACCAGTTTACCAGTAAAAGCACCATCTCATATCATAGCATAGATGTCTTGGTGTCCATGCACCTCTAAATCTGAAAGAGTCAATGCCCCATCTATGAAACTGCCTGCTAAATTCTGGCTTGGCCAACAGAAAAATGTGATTTAAGTTGTCAAATGTAACATGTTTGGTCCAGAATCTCTGTGTGTGATTATTTAGTCACTGTGATTTTCAATCAAAACAAGCAATTTATAGAATTTAAGTTAGCAAAAAATACATCATAAGCAGAAAGAATAGATATGTTGGAAATGATATGGAGGTTTTGCCTTGGATCAGAGTTTTAAATCTGGATTCATTCAGTGGGGGAATGGATGCTTGCTGTTCTCCACTGGATGACCATAAAAATAGATCAGATGAGTCTTCACCATAGAGCTAGAAGTGATCTCAAGAAACTGAATTGTACCATGTACTTTTTGGCAATTCTATTACCTAGTATGAAGTCACAAACTAAATAATGGGTTAGTGAACATAGATTTTAATAATTTATATTTTCTCATAAAATTAAAAATCAAACGTAGGAAAGAAGATGACTCTGGAATATCAGGTTTCATTTAATAATCCATCCTAATTGCTAATTTAAGATACGTTGATCTCAAGACAAATAAGACCTAGAAGTTTTGCTTTCACCAACCTGGCATTTATTAAACTCACCAGCCATAGATGAATAGAATGGTTCAATCTTCCCTACTCATATATAATATAAAAATTGTATTGCTAATATCAACCATAGAACCACTTTCAATGGGAAAAAATTTAAAACTTCATGGTATTTAAGAAGGAATATACAAAAAAAAAAAAAAAAAAAGCATAAGAACCTAAATAGATTTAGACCAGTGCTTTTCTTACAGACTCTCTTTCTGGCTGATTTCAAATTTAAATTTGGTATTTAAATTAAAACCAGAACAATAGTCACTCTAGTGATAAAATGTCTCTAAGGCATGCTTATTTGTAAATAAGCTGGGCTATTTGTATTATCTATTCATTTTGTGGATAAAAAGCAGAATCAAAACTTAACCAAACTACAGAATAAATGTCATTAGAAAAACATACATTTTCTCAAATAACATACTATATGTCAGTAAGTTTAACATATCCCATTTGTTATTTTCTTTTTTTTTTTTTAAGAGACAGGGTCTCTCTCTGTCACCCAGGCTGGAATGCCGTGGAGTGATCATAATTCACTGCAGCTTCAAACTCCTGGACTCAAACAATCCTCCCGCATCAGTCTCTTGAGTAGCTGGGACTACAGGTGCAAACCACTAGGCTCAGATAATCTTTTTTGCTTTTTTTTTTTTTTTTTAGTGATGGGGTTCTCACTATGTTGCCCACATTAGTCTCAAACTCCTGGCCTCAGCCTCCCAAAGTGCTGGTATTACAGGCATGAGCCACTCACTGCACCTAGCCCATTTGTTATTTTCATTTGAGGCAACTGCTGATTTATCACAATAACAAGTGAGCAGAATTGCTATTAGATATGTTTAAACTAGACAAAAGACTAATTTTATAAGGCTAGACATTAAAAAATCAAGGAAGCCCCAACGCACATTGATATTGTGATTTTAACATATTGTAAATGTTTTCATAGTTCCTACAGATTTATGAGCATGACTATTTCTCTGATTCAAATGAAACCAGTAATGTGACTGTACCATGGGCTCAGAAAGGAATGGGCTAGCCCCCTGAACATGGACCTTGAAATATCCCCTGAATGCTTCCTTCTTCGAACTGGCTCAAGTACACGCCTTCACCTCAGCCATTATTGCTGTATCAGGATTAACACTACCCTGTCATAAACCATTTTTCCAGCCTTCACCTTTTCTGAGAAGGTCTCCTGGTTTGCCTCTTCAACCACAAAACTGAAATTAACATCAACCCCACCCCTCCTTCCTCTGATATAACTTCAGCCATACCTCTTTTCCTAAGAAAAGTACAAATACCATCATGCAGTGATTAATCATGATTGATAAAACAACAGTTTCTCCTCAGTGTTTAATTCCTAGGGCTTTTCCTTTCTTCTGGAATTTTTC